GGGGGGGGGGGGCACAGCGAGCTGCCACAGGCAGTGGCAGCACTGTTGATGGCAGGAGTATGGTGGCGGCAAGCAGGGAGCTCCCGCAGGCAGCCACAGTGCTGTTGGTGGGCAGGGGGTGGTGAGCACCAACTGGCGGTCGGTGACCACCTGTAGATGCTGCCGGCAGTGTTGGCAGTGGCCAGTGGTGATTGAGGACCACCTGCAGATGCTGGAGGTGATGTTGGTGGGGGGGGTGACAAAGAGCAACTACCCACAGGCACTGCCAGCAGTGTCGGTGGTACCTCTTCACAAAGGGTGCACCGCCATGCTCATGGGGTGCACATGCACCTGTGTGCACCCCCTACACATTGTCAATGGACCTGCAAACCCCTGTAGCCAGGGTCTAAACAGCACGTGGGAGGAGGAAAAGCCCCTGTGGTGGGAGGGTTTCGACACTTGGCAGCCCTCCCTCTGCCCCCCCTTCCCCTTCCCAGCTGCTGATTGCTTCAGGGGCTGCCACAGGAGGGAGGGAGAAGCAGTCCTCCAAGCTGGGTGCCTGTCCATGCAGCCCAGCATGGGGGAAACAGGGAGCCCTTGCCTTGGAGGTCGTCCCCTCACCCCAGCTCAGGGTCCCCCAGCCTGGGGCAGCCCCAGGAAGCTGAAGGGATTTCTTCCCCTCCCAAACTCCAGAGCTACTTGCCTTAGCCACTGTGAGTCTCAGGCAGCCTCAGAGAGTGGAGGGAAATTCTCCTGCTCCTCTGCAGCTGGTTTTCCCTCACCTGCTGCAAGTCTGAGGCAAAACCAGTTTCAGGGGAGTGGAAGAGTTTCCCTCTGCTCCCTAAGGCTGTCCTGGGCTATCCCTGGGACTTGCAGCAGCTAAGGCAAACAGCTGTGTGGTTCAGGGCGGCGGGGAGGGGGAGGGGAAGAATTCCCCTCAGCTCCCTGGAGCTGGGAAACCCTGGGCTGGGGTGAGGGGAAGCCCCCCAAGGTGGGGGCTTCCGGGTACTTCATGCTGGGTTGCATGGGCAGGCATCCAGCTGGGAGGACTTCTCTCGCCCTCCTATGGCCACAGCTGAAGCAATCAGCAGCTGGGAAGGGGGGGATGGGGATTCTCCTCAGCTTCCCAGGGCTGCCTGGGCCGGGGAACCCAGGCTGGGGGAAACCTCCTGAGGGGGAGGATCCCCCAAAGTGGGCCAGTACCCAAGCAGGGGGCTCCTTAACCCCTGTGGGGACCTGGGGCTGCATTGGGTCTCCTCAGCAGGAGGCAAAGTCCTTCTTTCATGAACATTATGGGATAATAGCTCCCTGAGTCAAGGCCACATAGAACCAGGGAGGGTAAGGGACCAAAAGGCCAAGAGCCTCAGAGAGTTTAGATGCATCATAAGGACCTAAACTACTGTACTAATTTGACATGTAAGAATTGAAAAGTCAAGAAGCTCATACTTGCTTATCTGATTTGTATTTGCTCTATGTTATCCCTGACTCACAACCTGACCCAATCTCCTTCATGTTCTCTATCGTCTATATTGTATTGATTAAAAGCCCTTCCATAGATCCTTAAGATGACCAACCTCTTAAAAACATGATGGGGCTTCATCAGAGTTTACTGAACTTAAATTATTTTATCATTATAGCAGGTCAAACACTATTTAATATTTAGGTGTTAGCCAATAATATTTGCATACGATTCAGGGCAAGCTATCACCTCTACAGATATGGGGGGCCTAATCTGCACTCACACTAGGTTCCCTCTATACTGCTGTGAGAGTGTAGACAAGGTGAAATTACTTATATCCTCTAGAAGACAATGGTGAGAATCAGGTCCTTGATATCTCTGGAAATAGATATGTGCATGGACAATTCATGCTACTATACTGCTTTTCTCTTGTACTGAAAAGTTCCACTTTTTGTGCATAGACAATGGAACGTAGTGAGTTCTCTGGAGTTATTCTTAATTTAGCTTTCATTTAGTTCCAAAACACAGGTCACTACCAAATAAAATTATGCTAAAAGAAATCTTGAGTTTATGGGATGCTGCTAATCCTGTCAGTTGCTGAACATTTCTTATTTAAGTCACTGCACCTTCTCCCTAAGCCATTATCAAACCCCATAAAGACTGAATTACCATCTTTTTTGTTAGATGCTTGATTTGCCTTCCTTTTTTTTTTTGGTATCTTAGAGGCTAAGTCAGAATTCACTTAGGTTTTAAAGTAGTGCAATTAGGTTAATTTTAGTGAAGTTACTCCTATTTTACACTGGTTGTACCTGAGATCAGAATGTAGAACACCTCTATTAACTGCAAGGAAATGTTTTTTGTTCAGGGTACCGTACCTTTTAATATAGGGGCATTCTCTGCCTGCTGCAAAAGCAGCCACCATTTTGTTTAGTTTTGGATGCAGCATGCTCTGAGGGAGGTGTCTGTGCTGTCTCTGACCATTTAAGATTGTTTTTTTCTCAGATGGTTGTTTTATAGTCCAATATTTCTTTAATATCATAGTTAATTTCTACTGTGATCAAAAACATACAAGGCATTTTAACCAAGACGATTTTTCTTTCAAAGTCTGGAAATACAGAAACAGGAAAAACAAATAGTGTAGTCATAAAACACATTAAATATGATTGGTGCTAATGCAGTAAGGAAAACCAGTCCCACATTTGCCTTAATTAGTGGAGAATTCCCCCCTGCATTGTGAAATCTCTGGTGCCTTACAACCACTGCTGTAGCCCAGCATGACAGACATGAACAGGGAAAAGGTGTATCTAGAATGTAACTGGGCACAGTTGGCACCTGGCTGTCAGAAACATTTCCTGTGGATCGTGGTATCACAGATTCCCCCAGAGGAGCATTTGCTTGGAACCCCCGACTTTGTCCGGCCTCTCTGAGTACCCCATGAAGCCAGCCCAGGCATGGTTTTTTAGAGTGGGGTGAGCTCTGGCTCTATGACTCCAAGACATGGTTATTTGGGCCCTGACCCTCCCTGGTTACCCGTCAGCTTTCCTCAGGGATCTGCAATCCAGTTCACCTCTGAGACAAGGATTTTGCCTCTTAAAGGGGAAAGAAATGCACTTGAAATCCCAAGCAGCAAAGCTGATGGCTCCTTTTCAACAAAGGGCCTTTATTGGGCAAAGG